AAGGTAAATGATTATAAAAACTGACAAGTTTCCTCAAAAGTACCCCTCAAACAACTAAAAAAGTTACCTGTTATGGACCTCTGATGGTGTTCTGAAAACTGAAACAGGTCTCGTGCTGCTTGTGAAAGGAGTTGTCTTGGAAAAAGTGGAAGACAGTTTTTAAATAAATCATAGTTTTCATTTGTACCTGGGTGTACGTTTCACCGGGCCACTTCTGTAGTACTGAAGAGCCAGCTGGGATCGCTCACACAGCGTGAATTTCAGTACCTGAAATTAAAACCGTTCGTAAATAAATGTGCACCGTATTACTTTAATGCTAAGGTACTCTCGTTCTTCAGCACTAGTGCAAGGCAGGCTGTAAGTCCTGCTTCTTTTCAGGAAGCGTTTCTTTCCAAAACTTGAAGTAGGGCTTCTGTTGTGCAAAGCTAAAAAGAAAAGTTTCAAATGTCAAGTATTAAACCACGTTAAGGTTCTCACATTGCCACCCTGTGAGCAAAACACAACAGCCCGTGGCAAAAAGCATAATGGTGGAAGGTGAAGCGTATATGGACAACAGGACATTATTGATATATTAAGCCCGCTTTTATGATTGCTTAATGACTTTTAGTGTGGCAGCACAAAAAAATGCTTCAGCATCTGGGAAATCTTCAGGTGAAGCTTTATGTTCTGCCACAGGAGGGCAGCGGCTGCCAGCCTGACAAGTGGCAAGGCAGCTTCCCCCCAAAACGTTTGCACATTTCTTTTAAGAGTATCTAGTCATTTTTTACCACTTACACTTGGGGTTTTTCACCATCATAAGAGTGACAGTTTATCTAGGAGCTGGACTCCTTGTTGATTGTACCATCGCTAGCAAGGCTACAGATATCTATTGAATAGTCACACCACTGTGCAGGCAGCGCGGCAGAAACACTGGCAGCGCCACATCAAGGCTTGTTGACTTAGTAGCTATCTGCAAAGGAACTGGAGAATTCTCCGGGTGTTGCGGTACGCTCCCACCGCCTGGATTTCTTTACGTGCCATTCAGGCTTGGGACATGTCTATAAATGTGCTGTGGCTAGAGTGAAAGCTTCAAGATAGACATTGCACACTTCCCTCCCGGAGAACCTGGTTCTGTAGGCAGAGCTCGATTAAAGAGGTGAGAATGCAAATAAATATAATTTTGAGCAGTGGGGAGAATAAGCCACTAAGTATGAAGACGAGCCTGCCTTTTATGTTGCTGCTTGCATTGCTTACACTATGCTTTCAGTTTTAAGTACAACATTCTAGTTGGGACTTGCAAATAAGTATGCAAGTTTCATTACTAATGAAAAGCTCAAACCCAAGAACTATTTATAGAAGCAGTGCAGGCTGAACTGCCCGAGCTGCCCTGCCAGCCTGCCGAACCAGCTGGGTGTGAGGGGCGTTCTGGGGCGACGGGGCAGTTCGGGCTAGCTGCCCGTCCTTCCTTCATCAGCCTCCTAAAAAACGCTTAAATTGCCACCGGGTTTATAGCAACAACTGGTAAGTAGAAATGGGCCCAAGCCCTAGGCAAGCTGGAATTCAGACTGGGGGAGGCCAGTTTGAGCTGTTTCCCTGTCCTTTTAATCTTACATGCAAAGATCTTCATCTTAGAGCAGATGGGCCACTTAAGCAATACTAAGTAAAGTCAGACCACACACAGGTAATAAAACAATACGTCCAGACATATTTAATGCAAGAAGGTCAGTGTTCAATGGCATTCATAAATAAGAGACTTTGTTCAACGCTTTACAAGTAAAGCTATCAGTTATCCTACGTTAGCGGGTACTTTTGAGGAAGAGGCAGCTGCAGGGGATAATTTCAGGTGTATGGAGACTTGAATGACCATACTGCATCAGAGAGGGTTGAAGCAGAGCAGTTCCATTGTCAGGCTCCGAGATCGCTGTCAGCACTGGCACTGGGCAGTAAGGTCAGTTGCTTTGCTCAGTTTCTTCCTCCTCTATTGCTGAATTTATATAGCGAAACTGAGGTGGGAGAAGGAGAAGAAAGAGGAATGGGAGTGCAGTTTCTCCGTGTGCTGTCGCGACAGAGTTACCTGGCGGAGGAGGAGGGAGCTCTTCCCATCCCTGCAGCCCAGCGGTCCTCCCTCTCCATTTCGATTTAACTCTCCAGGAGAGCTTTGGCTGCCAACCGCACTGACAGTGCTTTCTTTGTAACATAAACGGTTCCCAGTGGCCCCAGCATAAATGGGTAGTTGTTACCAAAGTACTAGAATTTTGCTTTATGCATTCAAAAGAAGCAGGGATAGCCCAGAAAGTTTAAAGAATAGAAGAGTTCCGCTGCTTAAAACATTCATGCTAACCAGTTTTACAGCTGTAAGCGGAGTCCTACCTGATTTAGTTACAGCGTAGGCCACTATGCATTCCAAGAATGGGTGTTCTTTGAATGAATAATGGCTATTTCATAAACCTGACTTACATTATCATGCTTCTAATAGTTAATATAAACAAATACACGTCTGCTAGAAACAAGACGCTCCACACTATATAACACCGTATTACAACTACATATGAATTGCATGTCTGGGTGAAATAGTAAATATGAAATTCAAAGCAAGTGCCACCAGTGGAGTTTCACATTTTGCTCTAAAAAAACCCTAAACAAACAAACAAATAAAGAAACACCAAAAGAAGAAACCAAACAAACTTGTGTTGGGATATGCCCAAATTTAGGAGACTTCTTGAGGGCACACCACCCATTTCTAGGCAAAGTCAATCTTAAACTGAAGTCTCCCAACAAGCCTTCAGATTTAAAACCGCTTTTGAGAATTAATTTGCAGTTATTATTTTGGAAAAAAAAGTATCAGGAAGAAAAATCAATTAGGTTGCAACATTATCAGAGAGGGTTCTTTGTTTTGTTTCAAGTGAAAACTGCTGAAACTTCATCCAATACTAAAACATGTCCCCAAAGCCACTCAAACAGTATCACGGCTGTACCTCCATCGATAAATAAGAATCCTCAAGATGCTCCTCGCACAGAGAATCTTCCATGTTTTACGGGGCATGGGAGGGGGTAGTCTACATGACACTGGTACACTTAAATACCAGATAGTTGCTCCATGGTCACTTTTCTCCATGAACTTTTTTTTTTTTTTTTTTTTTTTTAAACCCAGCACCCAGGTATTTAAAACATTATTTCACTACTGGCTGGTGTGAGCATGTCTGGAAGTCTTCCAAGTAACTGTGACTTACTGGCATAAAAACGCCCTTTGAATTAGCTATTAGACTGATTATGGTATTTGCGTTTTCCTTTTATTCACAGCAAAGTAAAGTTCAGAATACTTTGAAGCTGCTGCAATATTTGAAACAGCTATTAAATTATTAGGTAAAGTTGGAAATAACATAAAACGTAGAACGTCAAAGACATGACATTAACATCAAGGTAACTCTCTTGAAAATTCCACTGGGAAAGAAAATTTGTCAGTGAATTTTGAGTTGAATTGTAGAGCAAAATCTGCGTCCATGCGCAAATGCACACGTGCGTGCAATGCAGGATAAGCTGGAGCAGAACTAACGGTATTGTATAGCATTGAAAATAGAAAGTGCTTTCCATAAAAGTAGACTAATGTCTCAAAGTGCTTTTAGTTTGTCAGTGATTAGAAAACATTCTCTACAAGTTTTTACACTTATCTTACAGTGATTTTCAGCAAGTTTACCTATGAGGAAGATTATATATATCTTATTTCAGGAAGTCGGCTATTCAAAACTTTGGTCAGCTATCGTGAGACTGCATTGCTCGCTCTGGAGTATAAAATACCCTCTTTAAGGCTACTCGTATCTCCCACCCCACCGCATCGCCGCCACTGGCTCCTCCAGAGGCACTGGCAGGAGGCAGAGACAGGCTGGCACGCGCCCCAGCACCCGGGCAGGCGCTGGTGGGAACAGTGGGAGCTGTGTCCTTTGGGTATGTCACTGCAGACATTCCACAGGCCCGGAGCACCGAATACTCCACAGTCACACCAAAACTAAGTTCTCAGTCCCCCAAATCAGACAAACCAAAGCCAAGTCTCGGTGTAACAGTTTATAAGGACTACGTGGCTTAGCTTCTAGAGGTGGGGTTTATGTGGATATGAAGTGGTAAGAGACCCCTCAAGGAAAGCACCATGTTGCGGTGAGTTGCTGACACCCACCAGCTGACACAGGTAAAGGATTGCTCAATGTCTTAAGGCCCCAAAGTGCTTTACAGCCAGCCATCCACGCCTCACAGCCTTCTTCCGTGAGGAAGAATTACCAACGGAAACATTTACGGTGACCAAAAAGGCACAGGAAAGCAAGGGCCCACGGTCCCAGAGTCCCCCCACGGTCACTCCCTGGAGAAGGGGGCTCAGACCTTTGCGGCGGAGCTGCCCCCAGCTCGGCAGGACAGGCATGGAAAGCCAGGAGCTGTTTTTAAGGCATTGACATAATTGATTTGGTCAAGGCTGTTGAAGGAGGTAGGGACAGAAGAGGTTAGGTTCCAGACATCCTGAATTACTTCTGTCTTATTGGCCCCACATTCTTGTTTTAATTCCCCTACATTTAGCTATACGCTGGCTTGCTTCCATTATGCACATCTCCCAGTTGGTTTCTCCCTGCTCCTAAGCATGTGGGATTTAAACCAACTAAAACAAACAAACAAGACAATCTCTCCAGCTGTGATGCTTTTTAAAGAGAACTAAGGACACTTTTTGACTTTCTTAGAAGACCCATCAGGCTGCAATTTTGAAAATACTACAGGGGGGGAAATAGGAGAAGGAAAACCGTGTTTGCTCACGTAAGAAGACAGAAGCCAGTCCTCTGTAGTAACTACTCTCCATGACAGTCTTTTGAGAAGAGTCCAAGTCCCAGGTTGACTCCCCGCCTTCTCCATCAGTAGTTTCAAGCAGTGCGTTTGCTGGCTGGGTTGGGACCATCCCTGGTGCCCATGGAGGAAACAACCCACCCAGGCACCTTCTCACCCTTTCCCAGCCAGACGAAGGTCGTGGAGCAGCCCTGAGGACAAGCCTATCGTTGGCCGCTCTGGTAGGCGTAGGAGATGGGCTGCCGTGCCCCAGGCCTGACTGTGAAGGTGTTGGTGGGTCCACCGTACTGCAAGCTGCCGTGGGCAGGTCTGGAGGGAAAACAGAGGGAAAGTCACTGAAAACTGAGGAAACTCTTTGTTTTTATTCAAAATTACAATATTTTCTCTTTTTTTGTTTCCTACTGGAGCAAAGTGACTTTCATATTGTGTCGTGTCTCCCTTGAGGAACATGTCGAGGAGAAGGCGATGGGTAGCAGGGTTATGGCTGGGACCGGAGAGGACCCATGGAACAGCCGCAGCCCTGAACCCAAGTGGTGGGACTTCTCTGGGGCTCCACGCTGCTCCGGGGCCAGCCCAGGGCTCAGCCCCCCTCTCCTTCAAATCAAGGGGACACAGAGGACAGGGAAAGGGGCAGGTCAGAGGACACATACCTGCTGGCTGCCACCGTGCTGGCGGGCGAGAAATCCCCGTTCTGCCCCTTGTACTTGGCGTCAGCTGCAGTGCTGCCGTACGGCGCGGCTTTCCTAGCAGCATCGATGGAGGTCCGCCTTCCCTGTGCACTCGTGGGGCTGTTCCTGTGGGCAGAGCCGAGGCGGCGGGCACCCTCCCCGGCCGGGGAGCTGTAACCCCCAGTGCTGTAGGAGACGGTGCCCGTGGCCCGGGGGGCTGCAGCTGCCCGGGGGTAGGAGCTGTCGGGCTCAGAGACATACAGGCGCTTCTTGATCAGTGGGCGGGGGTTCGGGCAGCGGCCAAAGTAACCAGCAGAGCTGGTGTAGTCTGGGTACTGGGGCATGAAGTCGCCATTCCTCCTGCTCTTCTCCGAGGGCAGCGGGGCTGGTGGCTCATGGCTGCCCCCGTAG